CGCCGCGGCGGCGCGGGAGAGCTCGGCGCCCTTTGCCGCGGGGCAGAGGCCTTGAGGAGCCCCGAAAGGACCGGCCGCGTCTGGGAGAGACGGTTACGGCCTCTGGTTGTGCCTCTGCCCGGACGGGCCCAGCAAGCAGTGAAAGACAAGGTTTTCTAAAACAATTGCCAATATGTTGCTACACCAGCTAAAATATCATACTTGTAAGGTTCCAAAACAATGCATTTATTTGTCTCCAATGCACAGAATTCATTATCAATGAATTTTGAAATGTTTCAGTTCTTGGACGTTTAGTCACTTCATCCACCGTTTCAAACTTCATTTGTGAAGTGTGGTGTGAACGTGAAGTAGTTTTACTGAATCCTTTTTACTGACACGGGGACATGTAAAACAACCTTCTGAACGGTTGAGCTGCTGTGGTAGGGTTTCGGTGGGTTTTTGGGTCCCTTTCCTCTAAGGAACTTCTCTGCCATTTGCAGAGGTGAATTCAGCTCTTAACAGGGTGAAGAGCACAAGAAAGAGCATGTCTCTGGTTGCAGTTTTGACATGTTACAGTCTGGAAGTGATGTCCTTATCTATTAAGTTAATAACTTGAGAGAAAAGTATGCAGATAGGAAGGTGTGTTACAAGTGAAACTATACTTCCCTCCTGCTTACAATTAACACTTTTCGTTCTATATTACCCAGTTATCACCCTTTTATCCAATTTTCTCTGTTGTATTCATAGATCCTTGTCTAGAGAATACATCAAATAACCTATAGTCTTCTAGGGAGTAATTAGCATGCATGTGCTGCACTGGTTTTGTGTGTGCCTTGAGGAACACTTGGAAGTGAAACCTATCCTGACTGTTTTAATATCAGGATATACTAGCAAAATTGCACTTAATGTATGGGAAAATCATTATTTAACTTTCTTCTGCTTCCAGGCTCATAACATTAGATAATAAAAACAGCATGATGAAAATACAAACTGCTCTTCAGTGTGGGAAAGAAAGGTGACATTAGTCAAACAAGCTGCATAAAATTTTGTTCGTTTTTAATTGCCAAGTTTGGTAGTTACCTTTATATTATTATTAAGGGGAAATGTCCTGAAGATGGATGGGATGAAAGCACCATAGAACTGTTTCTTCATGAACTTGCTATAATGGACAGCAATAACTTTCTGGGCAACTGTGGTGTAGGTGAGAGGGAAGGAAGAGTGGCATCAGGACTCGTTGCCCGAAGGCATTACAGGTACAAATTACTAGCAATTTGAATTATTCAGATTTATTATTAGTGCTTTTAAATGGCATGGTTTATTCTGTCATCTTATCTGAGGCCATGGTAGCATTTGAACAAAACAATATAATGCAATACTGAATTGATAAAACTTTCTGCAGTGAATTTTCTTTAATGACTCATTGGAAAGTCTTGAACAAAACACAGCTCTTTTGTCAGGGCTATATCCTGTATGCTGGACTGGTAGAAGCTTCAGGTGTTGAGTTGACTGCATGCAAGGACAGTAGAGGTCTTCCTGGTTTAAAATAATCTGTGTATTACTTGTTGGTTTTAATAGTGTGCAGCTTTTCATCAGTATATTATTAAAAACTACTGCATATTGTAGCTGTAAAATATCAAACATGTCCACAACAGTGGACAGCTATTTGCGTTTTGTCATATTTAATATCTTTATAAGAGAGAAATTTCCTGGAATGTTTCTCTGTGAAAGATTAACATAAAAGCAAGTCAGAGACCAGAAATTTAGTAAGCTTTACCATATTGAAGTTAAATTTCTTAGGCTTAATGACTTTCATAAGACCTACAGTACCATGAAAAATTAATGAAGAAAGCCAGTAATACGTCAGTTTGACTTTTTTTTTGTTTTGTTTTGTATATTGCTTTCTAGTCTAGTATATGTGTGGTGAGGGAGGTAGAGGGTCACAATGGAGAGAGCATCCAAGAAGTACTGTTTTCCAACAGTGCTGGAAGAAACATGCCCAGCTTCTGGCCAGAGAGAGCCTGGGCTGGCATTTACAATCATAGAATCGTTTAGGTTGGAAAAGACCTTGAAGATCATCAAATCCAACCATTAACCTGTCTATCCAGTGCACTGCTAAATGATGTCCCTCAACTACTGCTGGTCTGGTGCAGCTCTGTCGCTTGGCATCTCACCTTCACCAGTGAGCATCAGCAGTAGCTGGAAAGGCATAGGGGTGTCCTCTACTCCGCTTAACTCTGCAGTAAGTTTTACAGGTAATTTTGGGAGTGATGGAGGTAGCAGGAGATGGTTCTCAAGCTGTCTTTCAGATCAATAAATTTTAAAGGCCAGTTGCAGAGAGGAATGCTCCATAGGAAGGAGTATGTATATGCAGAAAGGAAAAAGTAATAGTTTGAGAAAACTATTAAGAACATAGCAGCAGAATTGAGGGAAGGAAATATTTTTGATGGGGTGAGGAGTATGTGCTAGTTTCAATTATTTATCAAGCTCTTGTTGATTTCAACCTGTAGCTTGAAATGGGCAAAAAACTGAAGCTGTGAAACTGCTCCAAGAGTTCTGAATTCCATATACTCATCAACCTGTGTTTTACTCAGTTCCCAACACAGAAACAGAATTAAAGCAATAAATAGATATGTATGTTACAGCCTTGCTTGAGCAGCTGCTGCCTTTCAGCTGTGGGTAGGGTTGGTTCTGTAAGCTTAGATTTCAGAAACAGTTTCAGAATCCTCCACTCCTGAAAGGTTCTAAATAAAACCCAACATTTATAAATGGTGTTTACAAACATAATTCATAAACAGAATGCAGAGAGAGCTGGTATTGCACAAGGTGATCTTACTGCTTTCTACAACTTCCTAAAAGGAGGTTGTAGTGAGGCTGGTGTTAGTCTCTTCTCCCAGATTACTGATGATAGGACAAGAGAAAATGGCCTCGAGTGGTGTCACAGGAGGTTTTGATTGGCTATTAGGAAGAATTTCTTCACTGAGAGAGTGGTTAGGTACTGGAATGCGCTGCCCAGGGAGGTGGTGGAGCCACCATCCCTGGAGATGTTAAAAAATGAGTAGATGTAACACTTGAGGCTATGTTCTAGTGGTTAGGGAAATTTTGGGAGGAAGGTTGGACTTCATGATCCTAGAGGTCCTTTCCAACCCCAGTGATTCTGTGATAATATGATAATACATAAATTGAAGAGTAGGATGATATAGATGAAATGAAGATGTGGAAAAAGATGGGCAAAGTGATACATCAACCCAGCTGTCTTTCAGGGCCTTTTGTGACAGTATATATTATTTCTTTGCCCTATGGAGATGAAGCATTTGTCAGTGGAGTATCTGTATAATACCACGACACCTCTGGTATCCCACGCTACAGGCAGCTGATTTTTGTTTTGTTGGAGTCGTGTCTGAACACATCAGTGTTTATAATGCTAGTTCAACAGACATCAAGTGCTGAGGTGTGCTTAAAAGGAAGCCTGCCATATGCTAAAGGTGTTGCTGCTATGGGTCTTCTCCAAATTTATACTTGGATACTGGAACATTGTTTAAAAAAAAAAAGTTTCATGTGAGTACATGTAATTTGTTATAATGGAACTGGCTGTGGCAGATAGTGATGATGTGTTAGATACAGCATTTCCCACAATTGTTTATCGAGTTAAATTCTCTTCAGTCAGCAAGAATCATTACTTTGAGATGTGAAAAAACTTGATGTATGTTTTCAACTTTTTTTTACTTAGGTTGATCCATGGAATTGGAAGGTCAGGTGATATTTCTGCAGTCCAGCCTAAGGCTGCAGGGTCTAGCCTTTTGAACAAACTTGCTAATTCCATAGTTCTGGATATTGTAAAGCTGGCTGGTAGGTGTAAACCTGACAATCTCTCTTCTTTGTGGGGGCACATCATGGGTTCTTCATGTTAATGTCTGGCTTTGTTTTTATGTGCAGGTGTCCAGACAGTGGCCAGCTGCTTTGTGGTTCCTATGGCAACTGGCATGAGTCTAACTCTATGTTTTTTAACGTTACGGCACAAGAGACCAAAGGCAAAATACATTATTTGGCCACGTATAGACCAGAAGTCTTGCTTTAAATCAATGATAACTGCAGGTAAGGAGGAGCCAACTGATTGCACAGTGTATTCTTCTGACTTCATCTAGCAGAGGGATCGATTCATGTGCTTGCAGTAGGATCCAGAAGAGGCCTGGCACATGGTAGTTCTAAGTGCTTTAATTGTACACTCCTGATTTCTAACATGCAGTCCATGTATGGGTTGTCTTCTTAATGCCTTGTAAAATGTAGGTGTTTGCTGAGGCATTGAGGTGTGTAAAGTAGTTAATTGAGAACACAATACCGAGTAAGTTACAGTTTGTTCTCAGGGTTGGATGCCTAATTTGCTGTTCTGAGGATTAGGTAAAGCCATGGCTCAGGGTTCAAATCTCGCTCTTAGATTTATGCGGAAGGCATGTGTGTTCTAGGAATTGTGATCAGAAGGTGACAAGCTGTCTGATTTGCACGTTCTTTTCTTTTAGAACATGAGAAGTGTTAGCTGCCCTGTTTCTTTTTAATCTTGCGGTGTCACTCAGGAAATGAGTTTGGTGCCTTTCTTCGTTCAAACCTTAATTTTTCTCAAATGGAATTCTGTGTTTACTGCACTATAAGTAGGCTAAGGATAGAAGTCTATCCCTGTAGTCAAGCTGTCCCCTCCTGCAGGCAGATGCATGGGATCAAGGAAAGGGCAAGTAAGGGAGACCGTAATTTTCCAGCTCAGTGCACATACCTGCAGGTGGTGGCATAGATTCTGGTCCTAGTTTCTAGGACACATTTATTTTTTGCACAAAATACTCATTAGATAAAAATGACTAAACAATTGGAAACAGGGACTGGATCCTGTCCAGGTGAGATGCAGAGGTGTTTAAAAGGAGTCAGATCAGAACAAAAGGAGGATTCACATAAGAAAAGTGGCAGTGTTTACAGAATATTATGCTTAATTTAGAACATCGAGCTCAGGATATTGCATTTATAATGAAGAAGGTTGTAAGGAAATATGATAGATCTGTTAGTTCTATTAATTAATTATGTGATAGCTATTTTCACCTCTAAAAAAAATTATCAGTGAAAAGTATGCCAAGAAGCAGGTGTCAGATACCTAACAACTATCTAATAAATGCAGTTTCTGTCTTCTAGATCTCTAATTGAAAATCATATTAAGGCTAACAATGTCAATAAATCATTCTAGTCCAAGCTCTTCTGTAGAGTTGGAGCCTTAAACATCAGTGTTCAGGCATGATGCTGAGCCATGAAGGAAAAATTCACATAGCTGCTGCTGTGTTATGCTGCTCTGGAAATAACTTTTTCCCTTTTGTCCTCCTCTTCTCCTTTGCTTTCATTCAAAAAACTGGACAGACCTCTGTTTTTTAAGAAAGCGAGTCACCTTAGCTAGCATGATATTGTTGCCATGCCACACGTGTTTGGGGAAGGGAATATATGGTTTCCAGTGTTTTATTCTTCAAACAGAATCTTTCCGATGTATTTATTGGTAAGTTAAAAATTTGAGCAATTACCATGGCATGCTTCCCTCTTTAAGAAACAAAACTTGTTAAGTGCTAGATTAGGTCAACCATGCCTTTGTGTAGCTGAATCTTGAAAGTATTTGAGGATGAAGATTCCACAGCTTCTCTGGGTAGAATTTGTAGTGCTGTGTTATCTTCTTGAAGCGTTGGGGTCTAAACCCCCAGCCCTGAGTCAAGGTTGGCATATGGATGATGTCAACAACCAGGCAGGAAAGACCTTCCTCTTGGTTTTCTCTCAAGGCCTGCCCAGCCTTTGGTGAAAACCAATTAGGAGGTCACCACCAGGTGCCCTGCCTTTAGAATTAACATCAGGTGTCCTGCCTTTGAAGTTAACAGCATAAAGGCTGGCTCTGCTTGCAGTGAGTGAGGGGAGATTACCTATGTAGTGGATGGACTAGGTAGGGTTTCCAGTTTTTGGAAGGGGCTCCCTGACTGCCCATTACAAGCAGCGTTCCCAGTGGTGGTGGGACACGAACACAACCAGGACAGAGAAAGGATTACGTATGTAATGATGTTGCTTTTTGGCAATTGCTGTATGATTGGAATTGATCTAATGACCTGGTTTATTCCTTCCCCCATGACCTGGTCTCTGATTTGGCTTGCTCCTTTCTTTGCTTTGTCGTATTCCATGAGTGAATGCGTTGATCTGTTTAATCACCTGGTTGTTATCCACCTCGTATCTTCCCTATATTCTCTAGAATGGAATTGAAAGGTCTGTCTGGTGTGCTTCCTGTTGATGGCAGTGTCCTTCCTACTGGGACACACAGCCAGCAAAAGGCCTCTGAAGGAAAAAAATGTTGTTCTGAACCTCTCAAGCCAAAATTTATTGTTGTTGCCTCTTACTACATCATACCAAAGAACAGAAGCGAACACTTGGAAAGGACCCACAACAATCATCTAGTCCAGCTGCTTGACAACTGCAGGGCTGCCCAAAAGGTAAAGCATATTATTAAGGGCCTTGTCCAAATGCCTCTTAAACACTGACAGTGTTGGGGCATTGACCACTGCTCTAGGAAGCCTATTCCAGTATTTGACCACCCTCAGGGTAAAGAAATGCTTCCTAACGTCCTCTCTGAACCTCCCCAGGCACAGCTTCAAACTATTCCCACATGTCCTATCTCTGGATACCAGAGAGAAGAGCTCAGCATCTCCCTCTCCACTTCCCCTACACAGGAAGTTGTAGAGAGACCCTCAGGCTCCTTTTCTGCAAACTAGACATGCCCCAGAGTCCTCAGATGCTCCTCATAGAACATTCCTTCCAGCCCCTCACCAGCTTTGTTGCCCTCATCTGGATGCATTCAAGTGTCTTCACATCATTCTTAAATTGTGGGGTCAAGAGGGCTTATCTTTGTCTCTTGCCTTTGTAGTTCCCTTTCAGATGGCTTGGTGCTGTTAGAGATCCTTCTTGGCCTGTTCAGGCCTGAAAAGTCTAGCTTGCAGTCTTTCTTTCTAAGCTGTGTGTGCTGTACTGCAGCCATCTTGGTAGCCTTCTGATGGTTCCTCACTGGTTTTTCAGCATCCCTCCTGAGCAGCCTGTTCCTGAGCTGGAAGCATTCCAGCATTTAGAAGAAGGGGATAACTTCCTTTTTTCAAGCATTTCTCTCATGTGTCCTTGAGGAAAAACCTTAGGTTCATCTGTTGTACATCTTAAATGCAAACTTAAACTGCAAACTTAAAAGAAAAGCCTTGGGAAATAGCCTGTATTTTATGATATGACAAAGTTCACTTTAAAAATGAGGTCAGACATAGATATTTTTATCTTTTAAGAAGTAATTTGGAGGTTTATAGATTGGATAAGGCAGAGGGATATGGTGAAAGACAATTCATACTGATCATCATTCCATTGCTCTGTCAACTGGCATCCCATTTTAGAAAGGCTGGCTTAGTGTGCTAGTGTTTTACAAGAATGCCACTCAAACACTTTCTTTTTAATTTAGAGGGAAAAGGTTCATCTGTTTTTAAAAAGATCTTCAAACATGTTGCTGTTGCTTGCAAACAATGTACAGTAAGCTTTTGTTTGGAGTCCAGTATTTAACACAAGTATTGCTGTAGTTTTTAGCTGTATGGATATTGTACAATAAAACAGTTTATGTATCTATGGTCTTAATCCAAGTCTGACAGAATCTGTTAAAACAACAAAAGCAGGAAGATTTTTCAGGCTTATACTGGAGCTAAGAGCCCACAAACAGAGATTTGATGGTAAAATTCAGGTCTTGCTTTTTTTTTTTTTGGCCAGGTTTTGAGCCTGTGGTAATAGAAAATGTATTAGAAGGCGATGAGCTACGGACAGACCTTGAAGCAGTGGAGGCTAAAATCACAGCTCTTGGCGCTGAAAATATTCTTTGTGTGCATTCTACAACGTCTTGCTTTGCTCCAAGGGTACCTGATAGGTAAGGAGTCTTTGTAACAAGTGTGGTATCTATTGCTGTTAAAAAAAAAAAGCAAATAATATCTCTATTACTTTGAATGTCCATCTTCCTAAAACCGCTTAAGTATGGCCAAAAAACCAGTAAAGATACTTAAGGAAAATGAGAGGATGAAAGAATATTCTGCTTTCAGAATACTACATTAAAAACATGAGAATAATCCAAGTGGTTTTCCTTCCGTCATAAAACTGAGGTTAATGAAGGATCTCTTGTGAAATGAATGTCATTTTGGCAGTGGTTTTCTTATCATTTCGTGGAAGTAGTAAAAGTAGACCTTTTTAGAAACATAGGAAATGTAGTTCTGTAGCTAATAACACATTTTAATATTATTGTTGCCTCTTCTTCTTGTCTTCTAGCCAGTAACAAATTTTCCCAGGCTGTTAATACAACTTAAAAAAAAAAGTTACAGCTAAATTTAAACTCTTTGCTTGCATTACTCTTTCAGCATTATACTGATGCTTATAGGGTGAATTAAGATACACTGGTATAAGGAAACTCTTGGAAGCATCTAGGGCAGATGTGCTGTGCAAGTATAATGTATGATTTGCCCTGCTGTAAATTACGTTGGTTCAAACATTTGCTGCCTGATTGCATGATGCTGCTACTTAGAATTTCCAGCTGTTAAATCACCATTAAAAGAAGCTGAAACCACATTGCATTCTTTGCTAATATTACATGTCCATATACATAACTTGTGTAGTTGCTACAAAGATGTCATTCAAGTGCTAGCTGAAGCTGTGATGAACGTTCGGTTTATGGATGGGAAATAGAACATCAGAGATGTTATTTCAGTGTGTACCTTGGTTGTGAAACACTTGAAAGAATTCTCAATCTGAAAGTGGCACATTGGAGTAGAGGTGTCTAAAGTACTTGGTATATTGAGTCATTTGTCCAAAATGAGCACCACTGTTACAAAACCTATTTCTCCTACATATGAAAATAAGTATCAGGAAACAAATTCATTAGATTTTACAATTGAAGAGGTGTATTCTTATGGGCTGGTGTGTAGCATGTGTATCACACTGAAGTGTGAGATGTTAGATGTCTTTTTTTGCATTGTTTTAAACGTAGTGTCTCAGTTGTTCCGCTTTAATTGTTTTTAACTTATCACAGAATTGAAAAGGTTTATGTTTAGAGTTCATCTACACTGCATGCTTTTTTGTTAATTACTTCATTATCTGGAAAAGTCAGTTGAATATTTGCAGGTTTAGGAAGGAAACATTATTGATACTGAAACATGGCAAGTAAAGATATGTTTTGCTCTGTTTTCCTATCTTAAAAAAAAAACCCAATATTTATCATAGGTTAACCCAGTTCCTAGAGGGAAGTTAAACCCGTATAATTCTGTCAGAATACTATGAACATTGCTTGAAGTCACTTGCAGATTTATTGGCTAACTTAAATCACAGCTATCAAAATTGAATAGTCTATTTTATAGCTTGGGTAAATGAATCTTTTTCCTTATCTGCCTCCTCTTTTTGACATGCAATTGTTTTGTCCTCTGCAACTAAGAGATGAATTATTAGGTAGTGGCAGTGTGTTATGATATACTACAGATACAGGGGGATTTGAAAGCACTTTCTATTTAAAGGATATTGTCAACTGTTGAAGGCCATAACATTCATCTTCCTACAGGGAGGAAAATCCCATGCAGCATTTCTGGAGGGTACCATTTTAAATGTCTATTTTTAAATACCTTGCATTTGTAAGGCTTTATTTAGTTGTGGTGGTGGTGTTTTAAAATTTTAAGTGGCTTAGGATTGTTAAAAGGTCAGGGTTTTGTGCCTGTGGACCTATAGCTTTCCTTTGAAGTGTTATTTAACTTTATGGCAATAATTCCTTAGTGTATAAACCCCCTTCCTCAGAGAGGCATCAGTTCTCAGTCTTTTACCTGCTGTTGCTGGGAGCTGTCTCTAAGACTGCTGTATTTAAAAGAGAACTAAAGGAAAAAAGAAGTCTTTATCAGTTAATGTACTTAGACTGTATCTTGTTACTTTCATTAATATTAGAAGAAAGAGCAAAGCTTTCTTTTTATGAACTTTCACAAGCAAGAGAGAAGGAAGGAATAAATTAGAAAATATCTCTGTAAGTCCTATTAGTGACTTTTAAGCACTCAAGTAGTAGTGGAACTTACATTCATGTTTTGTTTTTCTGATCTAACTAGCAGCACTTTTAGTGGTCCATTTTAGGCCCTGGAAGCAGACAAATGCTGTGCATAATTGTTTGCTTCCCTTGCAGAATCATGTATTTTCAAAATGTAGCACTCTCATCCTTGTATTGTAATATAGATCTAATTGTTCAATAGAATATTTTTAGGAAGAGTAAAGAGACTTTTCTGTCTTCAGTACTTGTAGAAGGTAGCTTATTGCTCCTTTAAGTCTGGAGTGGTGAGAAAGACAAACATACATAGCAGTACCTCCTGTGTGTCTCCAGTTTGGTGGAATTCCCTACCTGCACTTGAGAGGAAGCCTGTAAGAGGGGAACTGTTTCCCTCCGAGTCTCTGTAGCTGGTGAGGAATGAGCCTGATTAAGATCAGCAGATCAGAAGGCGAAAAACTTGCCCTGTGTAGTGTTCTGTTTCCTGAAATATTCTGTTGATGTTGCATAGTCCAGGATCCAGGATGTTGATAAATGTGAAAAATTATTGGACATGCAGCTCCTGCCAAATATCTTGGCTGTAGAAAATCAATACATACATTATACTACTGGTGTTTTCTAATCATTAAATACTTGTGATTTCTTTAGGGATGATATGGTGATGATGTTTTCCTAAGAATTGAGGTTCAGAAATTTTAATCTGAGGCTTGGAGCTGGATTTTGTTTTACATAACACTTGGTAATGTAAGAGAAATAGAATGCAGAGGAATGTCACCTCTTGGAAAGTGTTTTCATACTCTGTCACATTTTATATGAATGTCAGTAAATTACAGTGAGAGGTTGTACAGAAGGAGATAAGAGTAAAAATGTGTTTGAGGTCTAGAATTTACTGATTTTTTTTTTTTTTAAATACTACTACCTTGTAATAATTTGAAATTATTACATATTGCCTTATTTTTTCAGGTAGGTTTTATTTCTAAAATATATTCAGAAGTTTGGGCGAAATCAAAAGGTTTTTTTAAAAAATAGAGCAGGATTGGAATGCTTAAAAAAGGGCTAGTAAGTACATGTATCTTTAAAATGCTGAAGGCCCTTTCTAAAATAGTCTATGTGCCTGCATAAGTCCTAGTTTGAAAAATCTATCCAGACTGAGCCCACTGTGATTTCAGGGATTCCTAAAGGCAAGCAAAGAGTTGTCTTTATTTCTGAAAAAGCAGCTGAACAAAATTTTCATTTGTTGATCTCCACAGTCCGACATTTTAGGGTTCTTCATTCCTTTGAAGAACATCTTTTCTGTTTATCAGTTTATCTGAAATATGCAAGTGAGATTTTAGCCAAGGGGTTGAAATATTAGTTCTTTAAAATAAACAGAAGCATGTAAAAACTTCCTGTTATTGATGCTTATAATTCCCAAGACACTTCTACTAGGCCATTTACAGGTTGAATAGAAAAAAAGGAACAAAAGTGTACAGCTAAAAGTGAATACAGCTAAAGCTTTATTCATTATCATTAAAGTAGTGTTTTAAAATGCTTATGTCTGAAGCAGAATGATTTGGGATTTATTTACTGGTTTCCAGACAAAACCTTCAATGAAAAAGTTAAGCCTAGGTCCACAATTTGTAGTATATGTAAAGGGTAAAAGAATTTTCTTCTCAACCTTTATAGCTTAAGGTGACAAGTGCTGCCATGAGGTAGTAATTTCTTTTTTCTTATTTTGACCTTTTTGTAGACCCTTCAGTCTTTTAATGGTCTGAGTTGTAATGAGTTACAGTGATCAGTGCTCTCTAAATTATAATGTTACTCTCGTAGGCTAGAGGAACTGGCTGTGATTTGTGCTAATTATGACATTCCCCATATCGTCAACAATGCGTATGGAGTTCAGTCTTCAAAATGTATGCATCTTATCCAGCAGGTAGGAGCTGTGTATTTCACATCATTTTTTTTAACTAAGTATAGGTAGATCTCTGACTGTAGTCACCACTGGCAAGTTTTAGCAGATGTTTCATAGTTCTGAGACTGATCCTGTGCATGTCTGCTACTTGAATGATTTTTCTGAGAAAGCAGAGCAGAGAAATAGAATTTACAAATAATATTTGTTATTGCTGTTACATGCTTCTTATGTAATAAATCCAAATTTATTTAGGTTTTGTTTATGTTCAAGTGTCTTTCATAATGAAAAAATGTCCTTAATAAGCTGTCTTAAAATACTTCCTAAACGTTTTGACTAAAAATGAAATAATGGATCATACTTCAGTAGGGATAAAGCCTTATCAGACAGAATGCGAGTTACAGATTTTCAACTGAAGGTATAAGATTCTAGAGCAACACTTTGTAGATGTTATATGTAACGTATAGGGTGTCTCGATTCCCTGTACCCTCCC